GGCATCTGGATACGAGACAGTTTCATCGATTTTGATTGGTCAAGAGTCTGTGTGCATGCTCCTCCTCTGCTCCTCTACACATGTAATACAAAATTCCTGTCCCAACATTTTAACATTGTGATATCCTGTTATTATCCTTCAGGCTATTTATGATCAAGATTTTGCTTGAGGGTTGCATGAGTAAAAGTATAAAATATTGAGCTTCGATATTCTTCATTTGGTCAAAAACTGTCGCTGGCAGCATTGTAGTCAAGACTACTTAAGATTTTCACAAGATCAGTACAAGCCCATCAAAAGACCTCCGGTCTGAATTCAAGTTACAAGCTATTCAAATGAACTGCAACAAAAGCATTCCTTTTTCATTAATGGTTCACCCTGTTGCTTGTGACTGGTCTTGTGCATGGTCTTGTGTCTGGTCTCTTCAAGGTCTCAACTATAATACTGATCACTTGGTCAGTCTGAAAATAATTATCTTATCCTGTGGGTCTTTCTTTGGCACAGATGTTAAACTTGCACTAGAGTGAAATCTGTTAAAGTGAAAAATTAAATTCTGTTGTTTATCTGCTTATCACAACAGTTCTGCTTGGAAAGAAAATAAATCTGAAAATAAGACATATTTCAGGAATGTTCTAGGTTTTTATGGAGTACACGGAGGACAGTGGATGCTGGCAGGTTAAACAGAGGTTATGAAAAGCACTTTAGATAGAGAAATGGAATAAATGTAAAAGTGACACTAACAAATATAATAGGGATTATTAGAGATGGTATACACACGGGGAGGCTCAGACAAACTAGAAGGTATTTGAGATAACTGCACAAATCAGTCATTTAATTGCCTACTTATTCCAGAGCCGCATATGTGTTTCATACGTGTACAATTTCGAATGGTCCCTAATATGTTGTTCATGTCTGTGTTTAACATAGGATATGACCGGGACAAGCAAAGTGACAAAGAGGACGTTGGATTAGTGAAGATGAACTCATTGAGACTATCTACATTCCTTGAAAAAGCGGTTCAGGTGAGATGTTTCTTTAGCATATGAAATGTGAATAAAGCTATTACATTTTATAGATGTAAGTGATAAAAATGCTTTATACATGGGAACACAGCTGGGGAAAGCTGTGTGGAATCATTCCTAAACAGACTCAAGGTTGGCAATCCACGGGCTCATTGTAAGAGAAGTTTGCAGTAACGCCAGGTACGCTGGGCCGGTCAATCGCAAGTGTCTTTAAGAAGCCAGTGCGGCAAACATTGAATGAGCCAATATGAGAGGGTGAATGATCATTAACTCTAGGTAGGAACATGCATAGGTGCCAGGCATCTGCTGCAGCGGTCACTTTGACAAAGCTTGTCGAATTATGAACTAAAACTTTCTGGCTTTTGTTAAGCTAGTTGTTAGGATGGAATACACAACATAAGCTGCTTTGTTGTGTGAAAGGCTGTAGTTCAGGATATTTCTAAGTGAAATATATTAGTTTCTTGGGCTAGCTGATTGATTTTTTCCTTTGGTGGTGTGGATATTGGGCTTCAATTCCACTATGCCGAGGCCCCATCGTCATGTCAATCGACCTACCTGTTGAGCGGACAAACCATACCCAAGCCGGCCACTTCCTGAGTGGCAACGTTGTTCTGGTGTGGCAGTCTCAGCTGTCTCCCGGTCTCAGCGGTCCCCTGGTGTAGCTGATCGTACTTCTGGCAGTTGGGATTCGACTACTTGTACTGGGAGTAATGCGGGCACGAGCATGCGGGTGGCCATGGCATGATACCAACGGTGCCATGGGTCAGGGAATTGGGCTTTGCTCTAAATCCTCCTGCACTCCTTCATTCTCATAGGCCCCATTCAAAACACAGGATCACACTCAAAACTGCCTAACAATAGCTCAAAGAAACAGTCATGTTTGATGACCTCTGGTTATCAATAAAATCACAGCCAATGTGTATAATTGGTCATGCGATTAATGTGTTGCTAAATCTCACTCGAATTTTTAAAAAGTGTAAAAAAGGAAAGGCAAGGGAATGAAAAGACAAACAAAACACACAAATATTTTTTTATGATTTATTTTTACGGTCAAATGTTTTAAAATGCAAAATGGTGCACCCTCAAGCAATTAAAGAGGAATGATCATGTGACCAAACATGAAAACCCTGGCTGGCCGGCCTCGGCCAAGCGTGAGACCAAAGGGCTGTGTGCGTCTCTCTGCAGTGTACGCCTAAAGAACCAAATGACACGAAAGGATTGTAACAAAAAAATGGACAGTTTTGGCGGCACACAGACTTGGTTACCAATACAGTGGTTTTGCGCATTCTTTGTACCTATATGTAAATAAGAATGATGTCATCTTTTAACAAACCTAGATGTGTATGAGCCATTTTGTCACATACCTCATGCGATTACAATGCAGTTTGATATTATGAAGCCTTCGCTGTGTAATTCATCACAGTTGAACTGTATTCGAAACAAAGAGTTTCCCTTCCATCAGAAATTTGTGTGCGCTTGTGTACGCTTTCACTGGCCTTGTACATGCTGTGTATGTATTGTAACGTATTTTGAATACTTTTGCTTTTGCGGGTGTACATGCATGCAGGGGAATGGGTAATTAATGTCATAAAGGATGCGCACAATGGAACTTCTAATGAGCTTTAGCCCTTCAGTGATTGGCATTTGCCTAAGGCAGGAATTCTACTGCGTGTTAACAGGCCTATTGTTGGACATATTATTAAATAAGGCTAACAGTAGGCCTGTTTACCCTGTGCAGAACAAGAGGAACGTTCCCGAGCACGTCAGAATGGGAAGAATTCTTTTGATCTTTGCCCTGAGTGTAATGTGTGTGCCGGGTTTGGCCATGGCGTGTACTTGTAGAATGGTTGTGCTGGGGCGCAAAGGGGTCACGCCGCCGGGTACTGACACCAGGGGTAAGCCCAGTGACAATCCTAACCCACAGCAGGACCCAACGTGTGTTCTCCTCAGTCAGCCTCAGTGGCTGCTGGGGCAGAAGGCTCCTCTGGTGTTTCTTACTCTCATCCTTCCATCGCCAGTTAGCAATGATGTTTTACAGCAGTGGCTGACTCAATATCCAGACAAAGCTGCAGCAGTTACTCTGATTTGCGGTTTTCTCAGGGAGTTTTCCTGGAATATTTGGGTATGCAGGAGCCACAGGACTCTGAGTGTCTCCCTTCTACCCAAGTTGTGTTTGAAAAGTTTTGCTTAGGGACGCATTGCGGGTCTGTTTTCTAAGTGCCCGCTTCTGCATTTACAAATTTCCCCCATCATATTGATTCCAAAAATTGAACCAAATTGTAATCGTCTTATTCATCATCTTTCCTTTCCAGCGAGGGTCTTATTAATGATTTCGTTGACAAGACAAATGCAGTTTGCACTATGCATCATTCAACACAGCTGTTGAATTAGTCGTGAAAGCGGGACCAGGTGCTTGGATAGCGAAGTCAGATGTTAAGTCCGCCTCTTGCCTTTTGCCTGTTAGCCCAGTGGATTATCTACTAGGTTTCAACTTTGAGGGTCAATTTCACTTCAATAAGTGTTGCTCATGAGTTGTTCGATTTCCTGTTGTTTGTTTGAATTATCAAGTACTTTTTTAGTTTTGAGCTTGGGAATTGGTTAAATCTTCTTTTGTGACACATTATTTGGACAATTTTCTGTTTGTCATGTCAGATTATGAGACACATGAGCATCTGCTTGCCACATTTGTGGAGGTTTGTATGAGACTGGGGGTTCCTTATTTCCCAGCCCTTCCTTTAAAAAATGGAAGGGCTGCCTCAATCATGTCAATTCCTTTCATACCCAGGATTAGAGATACATTGTAGATACTGTCCGCTGCCAGATCTGCAGGTTTCTGCACTAAAGTGAGCATTTAAAAGAGGTGCTGTCGTGGAATATTTATTTGGTGAAAACTCAAGCACTCACATGCTCTCTCAATTTCGTTTGCAAAAGCCTGGCATTTTTGCAGCGGATCATCCTATTATCTCGTGTGTTGGAGACACATTACCATGGGGGCTGGCTTGACCTATGCATGTGGCTTAGTTTTTTGCGGCATTTTATTGGTTTTTGCCCTTTCTTATGCAGCGCATAGAAGAATGAACCCCTGGAGCTTTATACAATGCAGCAGTGACTATTGGATATTGGATGGTTTTTTTCAAGGAAAATGGCTGCATGACCATCTGACATTCCTAATTATCCACCTTTCACAGCGTTTCTTGAATTGTTTCCTATAGTAGTCACTGTTTTGTGCTGGGTGCCATTGTTTGCCAACCACCAAGTGACTTTTTGTTCTGACAATGCCGCTGTTGTTCATGGCATCAACCAGCAGTCATCTTGATGCAAGAGGATCATACACCTTGTTCGCTATTCCATTTTATGGTGTCTCAAATTTAATGTGGTCTTTTGGGCCATTTCACTTCCCGGGGATTTATACTGCTTTATCTTAATTTTATATGACAGGTTTTGCCCTTACCCAACGTATATTAATAAGCACTGTATGCTCAGTGCTTGTCCGAGAGCTTGCGAAAAAACCTCATAAGCTTACTCGGGTGGGAATCGAACCCACGACCTCCTGCTTACTAGTGCAGATGTCTTAACCACTCGACCACCGAGCTTGCCGGGGTCAGCTGGCCGGTCCAAGTCAAATGAAGCAGCGGGTACCGCAAACTATTTTTCAAGATGTATTTTTGCGTTGGGGAGATGTTGATTATATATAA